CACGTCGTCATTCGTCAGTTGGGTTATGGACAGTCCAGATCTGTGCACATCACTCATAGGGTTCAGATGTGAAACACATTAGGAAGATGCTCTCGTAGAGCTGCAGAGATCATTCACGAGTGTCGGACTGAGAGCGACACATTTGTGTCCGGCTGGGAGAAGCAGCTGACACTGGTTAGTCTCTCAGAGTGAAACGGCGCCCTGATGGAAGTCGTCGTCTTTATTCCTCACAGAGACGGAAAAGTTCGAGCACACAGGCAGCTCCTCCACCGCGACATCAGAGTGCTCTGCTGTGTCAACACGTTCTCACTCCCAAAGCGTAACATTTTACGCTAGGTGACAAAACGTCGGCATGTTACGCCTCGGGAGTGAGAACGGGCTGGCTGTGTCAGTTATTGAACCCATTCATGCTTTAATGTTTTCACCCGTGTCTGTCTCAGCTGTCGTCAGCACTGATGTTCGACGCCGTCCACGTGGTGGTGAGCGCCGTGCGAGAGCTGAACCGCAGTCAGGAGATCGGCGTGAAGCCGCTGAGCTGCACCTCCCCGCTCATCTGGCAGCACGGCACCAGCCTCATGAACTACCTGCGCATGGTAAACACACACAGACACACCTCACGCATTATCAGAGGAGGCCCACATCTCACAGAAAGGCATTGTGGGTAATGTAGGGATGAAGGGCTCACAGTTTACTGTCGTCTCAGCAGCAGCGAGCTCTTCTTCTGCTTCCATTCACTGATCAAGCCAAAGGATGGAAGTGCTAACAGCAGTGTTTCCAGCTCAGACACTGGAGGACGTCTACAGCCAGCACAGCAGCTGGTTGCACCTCTGTGCTGGTGTAGTTTGGTTCCCATGCAGCCGTGTGGTCTCTGACATTTCAGCTTTTAAAAAGCTTTGAAAGCTGTTTTTTCCAAATAGGCAGGAACTCAGTAGAAGGCGTGAACTTGGCTGTAGCTGGGTGTGGATGCTGCTGGTATGAAACTTCATATTTCAGTGGAAACACTGGCAGGGATTGGAGCTCGCAGCAGGAGCGTTCAGCACTGCAGCATTTAGACGACTTGTTGATTTTAACACGGCGAGCTGCTGCAGAGCTGCACCCGTGGAAGGAGGCCTCCTCCCTGCTTCCTTCTTTCATTTTCATGTCCATTTGATTTATTCCTGTCTTCCTCTTCCCCCGTCTTTGTCTGTCTGCCACTTCTTGTTTTTTCCCTCCTCTGAGGATGCCGCTCCCTCTCTCCATTTGTTTTGCTTGCTCTCCGAGCATCACTTCATCATCTCTGCACCGAGCCTGGCAGCAACCAGAGACCCCGCTCCCTCTCCCCGTCTCTCTCGCCACATTGTTTTTGGGATGTAATTCATCTTGAGTTGTGCGCACGCACACACGCACAGACACACACACGCACACACTCGTTCATAGTGTATGTGCACTCGATTACACATAACTCACATAAACTAAGGAACAAAATGCACGCTTGGCTGCACATCTCTCACACTTATTTGCACATTCCTGCAAACACACACACACACACACACACACACACACACACCAGCAGCGTCACTGATCTGATGAACTGTCTGTCTTTCCTGTTGTCTCAGTTTCTATTTCCAGTGTGTGTGTGAGCCTGTTTTGATATCTTTGTGGGGACCTAGATCCCAGCTCCCAGGAGCTTAAAGGCGTCAGGGTTAGTGTCAGGGTTACATTTAGGTTATGGTGATGGTTAGGCTCAGGGTTCATTGATGGTTAAGGTTAGCAGCTTGGGAAAGCATTATGTCAATGAGATGTCCCACAAAGATATGAAAACGCGTGTGTGTGTGTGTGTGTGTGCCAGATTAAAGTACAGCCTGTAATAAAGCTTCACACTGAGCTGCTGTAAACATCTTTCCCAGATATTCTGCATCCTTAACGGGAACGCCAACGTTTATCAGTCTGTTGTTCCGTATAAAGATGCTGAGTGTCATCACGACTGGTGAGCTAGCTGCTAACAAGTCTGTGCAGCTAAACCGGCTAACAGTTTAAGGGAGAGAGTCCAGGGTGTGAAGCTCTCTCACCCTCAGGTTAGCACTGACACTGAAAGACTGTATATAAAAGATGACTGCAGCCTTTGGGTTTGAATAGTAAAGCTGATGTGGAAGTGCCGCTTGAGCAGCAGGAGGCGACACTGGCTGTAAGAAGAAGTGCACGGCTCACTGATTTATGGCCTCCATAAGCGCCGTCCTAATGAGTCAACGAGCTCGTTTGCTAGTTTGAGGTCTTACTGTGTGCGGACATTAAGGTCCTCTTTCACTCAAACAGATGATAAAGCAGGTCGTGCTTCAGGGTGGGGGCGTGGTTAATTTTCCCGCCAGG